ACCTAATTCTGCTTTTCTTTTTGAATTTTTTTCTTTGAGCTCATTTTAAAGGGAGTATTGTGTTCTTTGTTCGACGTGTCCTTTCACAAGAGCATTTGAAAGTAGTCGATGGTATATTAGAAAGTATTTTTTTGGTATTATTAACATTTGGTATTATTATTAACATGGAAAAAATACTACCATCGGCCATCTTCTGGTGTGCGTGGCAACATTGCAAGAAGCACCAAGTTTGTTTACTGTATCTACACAGTACCGATACAGTAAACAACGACAAGCTGATGGAGATATTAACCAATATTGGAATAAACACCTGTGATTTAAGAATTGTCAGTAATCTGTACTGGACTCAAACATCATCTATCCGGACAAAGGCAGGAGAATCCGACGATATCAAAATCGAACGTGGCGTCCGTCAGGGATGTATACTATCACCACTGCTGTTTAACATATAATCTGAGGAAATCTTTCAAGAAGCAGTGGGTGATGCTGAAGCCGGAATTCGAATCAACGGAGAATCTATCAATAACATTAGATACGCGGACGACACGGTAGTATTCGCTGACAGTTCTAAAGCCCTCCAGAAGTTAATGAACAGAATCACAGAGGTCAGTCAGAAATACGGACTTTCACTAAACACTAAGAAAACAAAATGCATGATGATCTCTAAGAAGGAACAGCAATTTGGACAAATCAGTTTAAACGGTCAACAAATAGAAAGAGTAAAAACATACACATACCTTGGTACGAACGTCAATGAAAATTGGGACCATTCCATAGAAATCAAATGTAGAATAGAGAAAGCAAGATCTGCATTTCAAAAAATGGGTAAGTTATTCAAATGTCATGATTTATCAATGCCCATAAAAATCAGGTTACTACGATGTTACATCTTTCCTATACTGTTGTACGGAGTTAAGTCATGGACTCTCACAGACGCCACCTGCAAGAAAATTGAGCCTTTTGAAATGTGGCTTTATCGTCGCATCCTGAAGATATCTTATACCGACCACGTTACTAATGAGGGTGTTCTGTTGAGAATGAAAAAAGAAAAAGAGCTATTAACCACAATAAAAACAGCCAAAATCGAATACCTCGGTCACATCATGAGGAACAGCGAAAGATATGGACTGCTGCAACTAATCTTGCAGGGAAAAGTAGAAGGAAAACGGGGACCAGGAAGGCGAAGGATTTCCTGGCTGAAAAATCTACGAACGTGGTTCAACACAACAACCACAAATCTTTTTAGAGCAGCAGTGTGCAAAGTGCAGATTGCCATGATGGTCGCCAACATCCGAAACGGATAGGCACTACAAGAAGAAGAAGATCTACACCTCCCTTTTTCTTGTTATTGAATGTTATTGAATGTTATAATCTTGGGTTACTTGATCACCTGTTTCTGCATCGATTGCTGAGTCATCATGTAGGCTTAAACCTAATATTACGTTTTTACAGCGCTCAGGTACATAGGAAACAAGAGTCATGTCGTTCCGAAACCCAAAAATACTGGTATTGGGCTCACGCTTTTTTGTAACTTTAAATTTGGGCCTTATTTTTTTTCATCGTTCCTACAAAGACAATTTTTTTCTCATCAAGATCTTTTATCAAATTAAAATCAGAAAACCAGTTGTCAGTGGTCAGTGTTCTCTCCGTATTAAATATAGGGGTTGCCAACATTTTTACCACGTCTCGTGGTTTGTTACTTATGGAGAATGGGCCATCTGGTTGAGTCTCTGCATAAATTTCCATGTTATAAGGGTAAAAGTTGCGAGCGTTGACCATGGTATAAATTTTGATCCCATATTTATTGGGTTTTGGATGTATTGATTAAAGGAGCATCTTCCACGAAATGCCTCTAGTTTCTCATCAATTGTAACATTTTTCTCAAGCGAGTAGCATTTTTGGCAATTAGACACAAACTCCTCGAAAATATTCCTTATTGGGACCAAGCGATCCATTCTTTTAAGTTCTACTCTCGTAGCTATGTCATCAAAACGTAATGCTCTCATTAAAAATAGAAATCTTCTCCAACTCATCTACTTTTTTGAAATCATCCATTTTCCATAGTTCTTCAAGGTTAACTCGATTATCGTGATAAATGCTCGCCAAATAAAGCAACCCCAAAAGGCTGTTATTTCTAGTTTGTCTGTATCCCTGGCATCTCTTGGACGACAATAATTAGATCTTACAGAACTTATGTACCTACTTATTTGTGAAGTTCACGATGCTCTCAATCATAGGATCGGTTATGAGGCACTTCCAAATATCAACGACGTCTGTGAGATTCTTAACTGGTCCAATGACCCCAGGGAGACGGAGTAATATATTGCGAGATGGTCGCTTACTTTTTTTGTTTGGATTTTTTTGCCAAATCCATGAGTCGAAAACTTTTCCATTTTTCTTTAGATGAACTATATAAGCCTCGTTGAAACTGTCAGCTTCGTCTTCACCATTACTTTACTGCATTACGGCATTACTGCATCATTCAATTCAGACTCAGAATCGTCATCACGTTCCGAAAACATGTCCTCTTCGTCTGTATCGCTATCATCCAGAAAACATAAAAAAAAATTTAACAGCTTCTATATCAGTGGGATCATTGAGATTGAAAATCTTCGTATCCGCCATTTCTAAAATAAAATAAACAAAATGGATATCAACGTAGAAAGTTTTCAACACAAAAAATGCATGAAATAGTAATATGTTATCAATATTAAAATAAGAATAATGTAACTATAACAAAAAAAAAACAGATGTTATAAAAACTTACCTAAAAAGTCGCGCGTATATCTGAAATACAATATATGTTGTATTGTACACTGGACACAAATATATCTGATTTGTACACTGGAAGCTGGAAGGTTGCTTTAGTAATGGAGTAGGAATGGCGAAAAGCACCCGATCGCAGCGCAGCGTAGGTAATAGATAATATACTAAATCTATTACCCGTGTATCTACCACATACCCGCGACAGCTGGAAGAAATATAAGTAAGAGCATAATGTTAGAAAGACTCTACTGTGTAGCCTCTTTGACTTCATATTTCTCAACATGTGGTGTCTTGTATTTCTTAGGATATTTTAGTTTAAGAGCAAGTGTGTATATCTTCACAAAATCTAGTTAGTTTGGTATTTTAAGAAACTTTTCATCGACAATGTCCTTTTAGGTACTTTTGTCTTGTATGTTCATACAATTTTGCTAATGCTATTACTTCCTTTAACCACCCATTGTTTTTATTTTTTAGTTGTACTTGTTCAACTGTAGTATATAGTATATATCGCACCTTTGGGGAAACAGTGAAAGTGCAAATTTGTTAATTGTTGAAGAAAACGCATTTAAAGTTTTGAAAGTTAGTTAAGATAAAAAATGAGAAAGAATTTACAAGGGAAACTAGAAATTTACTGTCCACGATGTTAGTTATTACTGTATGCTATAATAGGTAAAAGTTTTCACAAGCCCCCAGACACAACTACACTGATCACTAACTAATGCATTACTGTTACTGGAAACAGAAGACGGTTAATTTATACCATCGATGGTGACGTAGTTTGGGTGGAGGTTAGCGTGGGAGTTAGCGTGGGATTGGCGCGGAGGTTGACGAGAATATTTCTGACAGTAGGATTTTCATTGACTGCTGGAGCGGACTCTAATGTGATCACTTACCGTTAGACATTCTAGTAAGTTTCGATAGACGAAACTCCACATATTCTAAAAACTAAATACATTATCCAGCAAGACCACTTATCTCGCATTAAACATTGTATGTCCAACACTTATTTGATCTTCCAAAATAAATTCTACAGGCAAAAAAAGTGCTCCAATGGGGTGCTCACTGTCTCCAATAATTGCCAATATCTTTATGGAAAAGTTCGAGACCCGAGCACTATCCTAGTGCTTTAGAGTATACATCCTAGTATCCAGTTCACGATGGAGGTTGAAACTGATTTATCCCTACCGTTTCTCAACCTTATCATAAAGAAAAACCAATCACAAGGTTTTTGTCACTCTGCTCCATCTGGAGACACAGATATCAATCTCCCACTCAATCTCAACCCAAAGACTCAGACCCTCATCATACGAAAACTTTTTTCCTTACATCAAAGGTGTCACTGACAAAATCGAGAAAATTCTTAAATCAAGAGGAATAAAGACAATATTTACCCCCCAACAAAATCTTTCATCTATTGTCCGATCAAATACATACAACATACCAAATGAACACCGAGTCTATGAAATTCCTTGTGCAGACTGCCCCCGCTCCTATATAGGCCAAACAAATCGTAGAATCCAAAAGAGGATTTATTAACATTCCATTTCTGTTTGAAATTCTGACTCAATTTCAGCTCTAGGTCAACACCATCTTCATATAGGTCACAAAATTGATTTTGAAAACTCCAGAACCATAATAGCCGTCATCCGCTCCTATAAACCAAGAATTATTCGAGAAGCCATAGAAATTGAAAAAAAAGGTCAAATTGTCTCAATAAAAGAGATGGAGGCATACGGTTACCTTCGACTTATAGAAAATCTCTTATAAAGAAAATGTCGTCCGCTCCAGCCGTCAATCAAAATCCTAATGTCAAAAATGTTCGCCACAACCCCCGCGTCAATTACCAAGTTAATCCTTTCGACAACCTCCACCCAAACCACGTCACCATCGACGGTATAAATGAACTGTCTTCTGTATCAGTACCAATGCATTACTGGCAGTAATGAATGCATTACTGGCAGTAATGCATTGGTTAGTGATCTGTGTAGTAGTGTCTGTGGGCTCGTGAGACTGAGACCTCGGAAGCCCTGAAGAAGACATCGAAGAGGATGTCGAAAGCTCGTTGTGTATGATACTTGATACTCCAGTATCATGCACCACAACTTCGGTTGACATAAATCGTATTATCTTTTATAGCTTTTATCTCAACCGAATAGAATGTTACAGTTAATTTTGGAATACCCTTTTTACACGCTATACTCAACCATTGTTTTTAGTAATAGTTATTAACTTACCTTCTCTTGGATCACATTTAACCATTTGATTCGTCGGTTCAAAGAGTTCAGCGGTGATTTCAGCCACCGACATACCTTCGTGATATGCTTTTTCCGAAGAAACCACCGGTGCATATGAGGCAAGGGGGAAATGGATCCTTGGGTAAGGAACCAAATTTGTCTGAAACTCGGTGAGGTCGACGTTTAACGCTCCATCAAACCTCAACGATGCTGTGATCGAGGAGACTACTTGGCTGATCAATCTGTTTAAGTTTATGTAATCAGGTCTTTCGATGCCCAATTTTCTTCGGCAAATATCATATATAGCTTCATTGTCAACCATAAAAGCACAGTCAGAGTGATCCAGTGTTGAATTTGTTGTAAGAATGGAGTTGTAAGGCTCAACTACAGCTGTACATACCTATAAAATATAACATGTTAACTTATTTTTCTTTAAGATTAAGAAATTTACATACTTGTGGGGCAGGATAAACAACAAACTCCAACTTGCTTTTCTTTCCGTAATCGTTAGACAACCTTTCCATCAATAATGAGGAAAAACCGGAACCAGTACCTCCTCCAAATGAATGAAAAACGAAGAAGCCTTGAAGACCGTGGCAATTTTCGGCCAGTTTATTAAGTCGCTCCATCACGATGTCCAACATATCCTTACCAATACTATAGTGACCTCTAGCGTAGTTATTAGCAGCGTCTTCTTTGCCCGTGATCAATTGCTCTGGATGATAGAGCTTTTTGTAAACACCGGTACGAACCTCGTCTAAATAACAGATAAATATAAATATGAGCATGAAGATTTGTGTGTATCTTAAGATATCTTACCTACTACAGTTGGTTCTAGATCTACCATAACTGCTCTTGGGACAAGCTTCCCGTTTTCAACTTCGGAGAAAAAGGTACCATAGCAGTTATCTGAGACTATCTGATCAGATACTTCGACAGTACCGTCTGGTTTGATTCCGTGTTCTAGGCAGTAGAGCTCCCATGTCGAATTGCCAATTTGAACACCCGCTTGGCCAATATGGACTGATATGCATTCTCTCTATGGTAGTAGCAATTGTTAAATTTAAATTCTACCGCTTGCCTAAATTATTATTTACGAAAACAAATATATTAAGTATATTATCACAGTATAAATATATTATGTTGTTAATTATTTGAGTGTTTAAGTCCCATTACATTCTTTGATCATATTAAGTTAACATGATACTGGCTGTAGCAGCAAAGAAAACATATTTACATTTCCATGAATGGTCTCATGGATGCTTTGTATAACTCACATAAGTAGCTAGCCCTTCTTAAGTGTTTCCTCTTCTTAAAATGTGGCTCTCACTTTTAGACTCCAAGAGCGTCGATACTTCCAAGGACTATTCCTGCCTTTTTATTGTTTTTGTTGGGCTGGTTCCACAAGGTCATCTTTACCTGTTTTGGCATCTAATAGATGACAGCAATCGTTGCTATAGCCGCAACTGTTAAATATAGTAAGGCAGTTAGATAGTAGTATAAAAACTCCGTATCGATTTCTGACCTGTAAAAGATGGTGGCACTATGTTTGACTGGTATACTAAGTAGTGATCCGTGCAAGATATTGGTTCTTCTTTTAAGACTGCTGTCATCCATTTTGGAAGTGCTGATATTCTCTAGTGAACACATACTCGTTAATTATATTTTTATAAAGTTTTGGTTGGGTTGATTCCATGAGAGCAACAGTTTTCTGACGAATTTGTCCAGTTACATTCAAAGAAAATAGAAAACATAAAAGCTACTAGACTACATAATTAAGTCCTCCATTAATTAGAAGTTAGATAGTACCTAAGCCTTCTAATATTATGATAATTTAACACTATTTTATTGCAAAGCATAGTTTGTGTATTAGGGATCGTCTCATATCCAATGTCCGGTAATTCTTTATTTCTGTGAGGCCATTCTATTTTAAACAATCTTGTATCAATATTTCCTTGTGACTATACTCCTTAGGAATATTGTTTTAAAGAATTGGCTGGATTTGCTTTACAAGTTTTTACTGTATTATCCATCTGTTTGGAAATAATATCAAAGAGGGAATTGTTTTGGGACAAGCCAGTGTGTAATTAAATCATTGTTTACACTTAATTTTGTAGCTACAAACCATTCATTGTCTGTTAAAATAATCATTCTGTGAGATTTTTACAACAAAAACTAGTATGTTTCGATTTATCTGTTTCTTATAATCGATAGATGATATTTAGAGTAAGATAAAGATTATCGATATACAAAAAATTATGTTTTCAACGAAAATAAAATGAATATACATTACCATTTTGCTGTTGTTTATGTTACACTTGAATTTTTACTCTTTCGCAAGAATTTTTAAACCTGACCGAAATTTTCAAAAAATAACTTCTCAAATTTTGAATGTCAAACTGAACTTGTCAAAATTTTGTTACCGGTGTTACAGAAGTACAGACTACCAGATTAGCAAAATAAAAAGAAATCCAAAAGATATTTTAGTTTTGTGAGAATGAAATAGTTTTCTATTAAAAAAATATTACAAAACAAATATAGAAGAGGTAATACTAAAATTATTAAACAATTAAAAAGATAATTTGAAGCAGGAAACATTACCTATTTTCTTTAAATACAATTTTCATTCTGATTATTAATACTCTTGATTACACATATTTTTATCGTTTTCTTTCTTAGTTCGTCTTAATACCTTATCAAGAAAGAGTTCCAACAAGCGATATCTCTGCTCATTTCTCATAATATGGCCCAGATTTTTACTTTGCTCTCTTTGAATGTATGAACAATCTCGCATTCCTTCTCCATTCTACGTACAACCTCACAATTAGTCACTCGGTCTACTAATGAAATTCTTAATATGTACCTGTAACACCACATCTTGAAGGCTTTATTATCTTTGTAAATGCTGATCTTGCCTTTCCTATACGTTATTTTAATTGTTAGAGTGGTTTCAGTAGGTAACGGTTTACGTTTGTACCTAGGTGCATGTAGCTATCTACCATATACGTTAGTTGTTAGTTAACCAAAAGCTGTATATTTAATATTTCACGCTTACCGACTACCATGTGTTTTGTTTTTTTTTATTGAGATTCCGTCCATATTCTTTACTCGTATCAGATATGAGTGACATTATTGTAAACCTTCTAAACTCTGCAAAAACTACTGCTTCGTCAGGATGTGTAATGCTATTTAGATGCACTCCGTTGACTAATAAGCCTTTCTCTTGTTCTTCCAGAGCTTACTGGAGTATCGAGATTGCCTCTATCAACCGGTCAACCCCTTTGATGTTGGTAATTTTGTTATAGTATATATGATAGAGAATCCTTAGGTCTCTATCGTCCAAGTCCACTTCTTTCAGGATTGTGAGCTTATCGTGGTTTTACTCTTTCAAACACTTTGTCATAAAGAGCCTACCGTGCACCTACAACATTGCAAAATCCAAATTGCTCAATTTAATTAAGATCTTTCAAAATGATCTTCATTAAATGGCTTATCAGGCTAATTATTCTGTAATCTTCGCATGTTTTTGCCATTAGTTTTTTGGTATTGTTATGAAGGTCGAATTTAACCAGGTTTGTGGAATTTTACCAGTTTTGAAAGCCGCTTGACCTTTAACCCCTGAAGCCACAGCAGACAGTCACCATTTTAACAGAATCTAATCAGTTTTTGAACAGGCCTTAAAAGGTTTGGATAGATCTTAACCCTACAGCAGGCGCGCCGACTACCGTTTCATAACCGGGCGCGCTGTGTATTTTGTACACAAAACTCATTTTAGTTGATTTTACCAAATTTAGTGCGTTTTAACAAAATGACAACCACGATTTACAAAAATAGTTTATTGTTACATAAAATAATAAACATAAAACATGTACCTACGGGTTACTTCACTCGATTTCTTCTGATTGCTGCCGTTCATTGTTCTTACATTTTACGCAGGTAATTGTGGTTTCTGAATGCATTTTACATACAAATATTCTACATAGCCCACATCTAACTGTTGTGCTGGAATTTTTTGAGCCTGGACATATTGCACAACGTCCACGTTTTCTAGAGCTTTGCACTTCTTTTCTAGTAGGTTCTTCACATGATTTATATTTCATTAGAAAACTTTGAATATCCTGAGGAAGATATCGCATTGTCGCTCTTTCTGAAAGATGTACTTTCATTAAACCCAAGCTTAAATTCTTTAGAAAAATTCGGCGACATATTTTGGGATTTGTTTTATTGGCACAAAAAAACATCTGCGCGTTGATACCCGCCATATCCATTAGAGAAAAAAATATAATTAGTGGCCATCTTCTGGTTATTCTTTTTACAGAATATGATGCACACATTTGGCCAATAGTATCCACACCGCCTTTTGTGGCATTATAATCTAGAATAATTTCTGGTTTTTTAGTTTCGACGTCTACGGTGGCAGTGTCATGCATCGTGGATAAAAGTATGACCGACTTACTTTTTTTTGGAACAAATGAAACCAAAGTGACATTTTTATGGAATCCAAAGAGTGACGTTCCCACTTCTTTTTGTTTTTGGGGTAAAAATTCAATAGGTATTTCGCTTTTGTTTTTTCTCAAAGTGTCAATTGTAGTTATTTTATTTTCCAAAAGGGAAATACCTAAAGGATAACTGATATACCAATTATCGGTTGTCAAATTGCGATTTGAACCTTTTATATAATCAATAAGCCTATCTATAATAACACTGGGAGAGTTTGATACAGCATAAGGCCCCTTAGGTTGCCGTCCACAATATACCTCTAAATTTCCAACAAAGTAAGTTTGTGAATCGTCCAAAATGAACAGCTTGATACCGTATTTTGCTGGTTAATTTGGTAAATACTGGATGAAACTACAACGTCCTCTGAATCCCTCTAGTTTTTCGTCTATTGTAACAAATTCACCAAGATTATAGGAATTTTTACAGTTACTAACAAATGCGTCCAATATTTTTCTAATTGGTGCAAGTTTGTCATATATTTTCCGTTCATGTCTTGTGGTTTTGTCATCAAAGCGCATTGAACGTAACAAAAATAAAAATCTTTTGTAACTCATTACAGCTCTAAGAATTTCTATACCTGTTCCATCAGATGTCCAAAGTTCAAGTGCGTTATTATGGTTAGCCTTTTTAGTGCCTAGGAGGTAAAGCACTCCCAGTAACGCCATTATTTCACTTTTTGAAGTATGTTTCATATCTCGTTCTCTTTTATATTGAACAGATTCTTTTTTACTATCAATGTACAAATTAGTAAATTGTATGATGTTCTCTAATATATCAGAATCTATAATTTTTTAAAAAGCTGAAAGTTCTGAGGTCACTTTTGAAGCCACTGCCTTTGGTCCTGGAAGTATTTTGATAATATTTTTCTTTTTAATTTTTCATTGCGACGACAGCGCAGTCTTACTCCATGCAGTTTTTTATCTTTACCTTGAAAATATTCGAAAGCAGTCGTACTTACTGCAGTATTATCCTCGAAGTTACTAGCTCTGTCGTGGTCATTCTGTTCTTGTTCAGATTCAGAATTGTGGTCATCATGGTGTATTATTTCTTCATCTGTCTCAGATTCATCGGAATATTCTATTTCACTAGTTTCTGTTTGTGGGTCTTCATTAAGCATTTTATATAACTCAGCCTCAGTTAAAAACTTCTTTCTAGCCCTGCAAAAATAAAAAAAAGTAACACAAATAATATAACAATCCAACTAAATTCTTACATGATATTCTCTCAGCGTAGCCGTTATATTCCTTCTCAATTATGTTACAATATCCTATTCAACCTAAAATAAAGTAAAACTAAAGTTAATTTGACTTTAATTCCGAATTACAACTTTTTATGAAGTAAAATAATTAATGGATAAAATACTTACACTAGAAGGCGCGCCGTGTATTATGTACACAAAACCGTCACACTCTCCTATTTCTAAGAATTCTCTTAAAACTCAGCTGCAACAAAAAATATTACTCAACTATTCGAACGACAGATCTCTACTGGACGAATAGACGCGACGATATCGCCAGATTGACGACACTTCTATTTTTAGACGACTTTTTCTATTGGACGTGTACAAAGTACACGGGCGCGCCCGCTCGAGGGTTAAACACGTTCTCAAGTCTAACCAACCTGATCACTTTTTGGCGTTAAAGCTGCACAAGACTTGTTCCAGGCTGATCCAAAAGCTGATCAGGGGCTGTTTTAATGGTAACTATCACTTCTGTGACGTCAGGAGTCAAAGTGTAGATACTCAAGTGTAGATACTTTCTAATTTCCTTTTTTATCCGTAAGGTTTAAAAGTTTTGCACAAACTTGTCACCTCCTACAGTTTTATTATCTTTGATCTTTCTTTTAGCAGATTTGACTTCTTCAACTATATTCGTTAACAATGTTATATCGTTCATCTGCAAAAGTTATTTTCATCATCAGTACACCGTATGTTTGCAAGGTGACCATTCTACTTGAGTTTCTTATGTAGGATAACTTCGAGAAACTAACCTCTTCTAAAAATAATTTTGTTTTTCTATTCGTGAATCTACTACTAGTGCCCATAGCTGTAAGTCTTGCAATAATCCTGTTTATGTCACATGTGTGTTGTCTGTAGTAGGACCAACATTTAAGACTGCTGCAAAATTGCATACTTACAGCTCGTAAACTTAGAAATGAATTTTTGAATTTAAGAGAAGTCAATATACCAGTCAAACAGATAGTAATGAGGGGATTTAAGGAGGTAGGCTTAGATCCAAAATGTTCTGCAAGTGTTTCTTGGCTTGTTCAACATCACAAAATTTGGATGTTTAAATTTGCAAGAGTACATAATTTCTGAAACAAACAACTAAAGGTTCTCTCTGTTTAATTGTACTTTTTGACAAAAAAAGTACAATTACCCAGTATAAGTTATCTAGTTTAGGGAATTTAGGGAAGCATTTGAATATTGAAATAAAAGCAAAAAATGACTAAAACATATAGGGAGAACATGTTTAATGGAGTTAGAAAACAGTGAGAACAATATTAATAAGCACAGCAAATGATGACAAAAGGAAGGGAAAATCAGTTGAACTTAAATTTAGATATCATTTCAGAAAAATCACTATAATTAATGTCCATGCACCAACTGAGGAAAAAATTAAGAAGCTTTACAAAGAAGTATGATATGAACATTGTACAAAGTATGGTTTGAAAATCACAGCATATAATTTCTATGCCAAAGTTGGTAAAGAATATTATAAGAGCACCAAAGGAAACAAGAGTCTACATGAAAGATGTAAAAAATGAGAAAAAATAATACAACTATTAATCAAATAAATTTGAGGCAAAAGGAAAACATAAAAGAAATGGGAAATGATGGGTGATAAGTGTTAAGAAAGCTGTTGGCGGGTAAAGTTAAAAAAGAACTAGTATAATTAAATATCCCTTTTTACCTCTGTG